GTCACCATAGCTAAACCAGCACTACTGACCCACTAACCTGGCCAACAGCGCACTCTCTGTTGATACCTCTATCAGCCGATGGCGGAGCATGGCAAGCTCCAGGAGCATGGAGAAGGAATCCAGGATAAAGAGCTGTTTTTCTCTGCTGGTCTTTTTTTCTTCGTCTGCTCCTTCCTCTAATAGTGACAGAGCAATCTCTTGCACCAGTGCAGGGTCTTCTATCAGGACCTCAGCAAATAACTGCAAGGAAAGGGGGGGAAAAAAAAAAAGGAAAACCCCAAAATCATTTACATATAGATGACAAAGGTCCTTAAATACTTTAGGGGACAGTTCTCCTTTTTCTTTTTCTCGAGTAATTCATGACTGGAGTTGCTTCTGACTTGCAACCTGTGCAAGGTCAAAATTGTGCCCACCCTGACCCATCCTGACCTCTAAAAATACACTGGCGTTTTGCCACTTGCTTCAAAGGTAAAGACACTGAATCTATAAACCTGACTCTACTCAACAAAGTTTATTTTATTTTTTTTTTATATCTAACACAATATATTTGACTTTTTTATTATAATCAAAATTCAGAAGGCTTTCAGATGTATGTGCCTCTCTAAAGCAGGGGCTCTGTACCTTGGTTCACTTATTACTAGCTGAGGCTATTCCTCCTCTAAAGAGTGTGCAGATCCCAGCACATGTGCCACCGTATGTATGATGCTCCCAAAATGGGGACAGCAAACTCATGCGGTCAGCTAACGCAGCAGAGCTGGACCCCTTTTCTACTTGGGATGGTGCAAGCCTCCAAAAGAGCAGATATCCCAGGAAAGGTAAATGATCAAAAGCTGCAGGTTGGTAATGTGGAGAGCTGGAAAGAAGACAATGGTCCATTGGCTGTTGTCCTGTGGAAGTGGTGTGGAGGAGAAGATGCTCCTTGTCTGTAGCTGTCACAACTTGTACAACTGTGCCACCCTATTCATGTCAGATAGGATTGATGTGGCCACTGCTATAGCTGAGTGGCTTCACACTTCACTGCTCATGCTCAATGAATCACAGATCATGAGGAAATCTGAACCCAGCCATGCAGTTATTAGTAATAAAAGTCTAGATTTCAACACTTGCCATTTGCTACACCTTCACAGCAATATCGAAAAAAAAAAAAAAAGTTTGAAAAGACAACACCCCAAACTTGTGTCACAAGTTGTGCAACTTTATTTTGTCCCTCTTCCCCAAAGCTTTACAATACGCTTTTGTAATTCTATGACTCTGGATGGGTGGGACAGGACAACCCATCTTTATGTGCTTCTTCACAGAGCTGCTACAGGGAGAATAGCATCTTCCCTATTTCCAAAGAGGAGAAGAAAAGAGTTAATAGGCTTAGACTGTAGCAAGGCACATCTGTGCTAGACTTTAAGGAGAACTTGGTAAAGGTGAAGCTGGTGAAGCACTACAACAGACCGCTTGAAAAGGTCTATCACATTAAATGTTTAAGAACAGGACAACTGTTCATCTTATGGGAATAACATTAGTATAGCTGATCCTGCCTTGGGGTGAGCAAGAAAGATCTCATAGTTTCCCAGGGATCATTTAGTTGTGTAATCTCAGAATTCACTTTTCTTTTTATACAGCCTCCCTGATGTTTCTACACAGAAAAAGCACCTGTTCCCAGGCTGGCAGCATCTGTACCTTGCCCCTGGGTAATTTGTTTATTCTGAAGTTGAAAGATGCTTAGGCAGTCAGATGAGGAATAAAAACTGGGTCTTGTAAAACCACCCTTAGTGAAGGGTTGGAAAAACATGAAAGAATGAGGTCCTGGATCACAAAAGGAGCATCCAGGAAGGACAGAAATGTTGACTTTAGTGCACCAGGTCATAAAGAAAAACAACATGTGATCATGTAAAGACTGCATCACCATGCCTATGCAAAAGGAAACCAAATTCAATCTGCTCTGGCAAAGGTAAATTTCCTAAAATTTAAATGCTAGACTTCTACAGCCTTAGCGTCCTCTAAACATTGCCTGCTTGCGTGTGTTTGTCTCATCTGCAGCTTCTGTTGGAGAAAAAGGAATGGGCAAGAAGTAAACACAACAAATCCCCTCCCTTTCCCCCTTGGCAACAGCAGTGTAGTAACTTTAAGATCCATCACAGAACTCTGCCACTGACTTCGAGGATTTAAAACTGAAAAAGTAAATAATCGTTTGTGGTCTGCTGTGGACAAGAGAGTAGTGGGACACTGCCAGTGGATTTTATTGACAGCAGAAAGATGCTGGATAAGTAATTCTTGGGTTTTGCCCCAGGCCAGGGAGGGGAGCGTCCCAGGTGGCTGTGCCCTTCTGCCTTTAGTTTGCTTCTATACTTTCGTACCCATCACCATCTTTCCAATCTCTTCATCTAACTAGTTTTGTCTCCATGCCTAAAACTTTTAATTTTCATCCCCACTCCCTTGATTAATGAGTCCTGCTATCACTGGTTTTGGGCAGCCTGAGCCAATCTCTTTACCAAACCATTCTCAACCCTCCACCCCCATGCAAGGTGCCTCCTTGCCCTGGCCCAAATTGCAGTGCACTTTTTCCCCCATATCTTTTCCTTCCGAAAGGAAGGAACCCACTGGATCTCAGTCCTAGTCTATGTCTCCTAGCTTTTCATCTACCTCAATCTCCACTCCCGTTTACTGGCTGCCACCCCACTTACCAAGCCAGCTGCATTTTCTCAGTGCTCCTGCCCAGCTCCTACTCCAGCTCCTACTTACAAATACTTAAAGGGAGGGTGCCAGGGGGATGGGAGCAGTCTTTTTTCAGTGGTGCCTAGTGATAGGACGAGGGGTAATGGGCACAAGCTTGAACATAGGAAGTTCCATCTTAACATGAGAAGGAACTTCTTTACTTTGAGGGTGGTGGAGCACTGGAACAGGCTGCCCAGAGAGGTGGTGGAGTCTCCCACTCCGGAGACATTCAAAACCTACCTGGACGCCGTCCTGTGCAACCTGTTGTAGGTGACCCTGCTCTGTTAGGGGGGTTGGACTAGATGATCTCCAGAGGTCCCTTCCAACCCTAACCATTCTGTGATTCTGTGATACTCCACTAACGGAGCTGCCGCATCTCCCCTGCAATCTGCTCAGCCGGCTTTCTCTGCTGCCTCCAGTGAAGGCAACATGAGTGACAGCGCAGGCTAACAGCTCCTCGTACTCGCTTTCAATGCTCAGACCCAAATCAAACATGGATTGCTTAGACCAGAGGTATTATTGCAGGGACAGTGGTAAGTCCTGATTTGCCTCAGGTGATAGATACACCAGGGCACACAGAAACTTCAGATAATGTCTTCCTACTGAACGTAGAATCATAGAATCATAGAACTGCTTAGGTTGGAAAAGACCTTTAAGATCATCAAGTCCAATCATTAACCTAGCACTGCCAAGTCCACCACTAAACTATTTCCCTAGGCACCACATCTACACATTTTTTAAATACCTGAAATAACATATTTTATTTTAGTTTATGCTGGCCAAACTTGGCAGGAGTGAAAGCATAGCGTATCACTACCTAGTGAGTCTTCCCAAACTTGAAATGTATGCTCTAAAGCATAACTGTATCACAAGCTTGTAGAGAAAACAGATAAAGAAATTTATTTCCATTTCTTGCTCTCAACAACAACTAAGCTGACTAATTAAAAAAGAAATCAACATGATAGAGACATCCAGCATCAATAATTTCATTCACAATAATTAGCATTTATCAAAATTATAACCAACTGAATTCAGAGTCCTACACCAGGAAATGGTGGATATTATAGTAATAACCGGCTCCACCTATAACAATATTTGCTTTAATGTCCAGTCTTTTTCTTTTTTTGCAGATTGTATACACACACAAATAGAAAACCTGAAGACTTACCATGATTTCGTGTCAGTTTAAGTTTGTGTATTTTCCTTCTCATTAAGCTCAGTGTTCTCACTTTATACTGGCATGAGATCAAGAATTCTACCTTTCTCTGTTCATTTACAGAAAAAAAATCTTGTTTTAAAGGTGGATGGAATGGATCTTCATCAATCATAAGCAAATAACTGAATTGTGAATCACATAGCTAGAACTTTAACCAGCAAGTGTAAATGAACTAGCAAGATCACATTCTTGGGCATTCTGGTTTAAAGAGTCATTACTAACTTAAAAATGGAACTTACATCTTTTTGAATCTGAGAGTTGTAAAAAGTTTCTGGTTTTTCCATAGTTAGCCACTCATCAACTACTAGCTGAAGTACTTGTTTTTCTAGATTACTTGTTTTGCTGGCTGTTTTTGGCCTGCAGATGCCGTAGAATTCCTGGTAGATATACTCAAGAGCTTTGGGGATCAAGTACACCAGACCAAGAGAAGGGTGAAACTCCAGCAAATAAATGTTCTTCAAAGTAGGACTTTAAAAAACAGAAACGGAGAAAGAACAAATAGCTCTCAAATAAGGCCTTTATAAATTGCATATATCAAGAAACCTTGCAATTGCTTAATTTGTAAGAACAATTTGCAATGGCTTTCGTGCACATCAGAAATCAATCATCAAATCTGAAAATAGATCTGAAGCCTTAATAAACGTAATTATGTTGGAACACAACTAAGTAGTCTCATTTGCTAATGAAAACAGAAAATGTTTAAAATTATCTTTCGTTAGCTGACATGTTTTATTAACTGCATTTTCACGTCTACTACGCCCACCCATTAAAACTGTCTGCACTTGAAAATAAGCCCTCAGATAACCAACACAAAATCAAAATGTGTGTTTGGGGAGGAATGTAAACCCTTCATATAACCCGCAGGGCTGCACAGCTGCAGGATGGAGAACATGTGGCAGGTCTGTACTGTGGGTAATATGTGGATTCCACGTGTGAAAACAGAATACAGACGCATCCAACCTGACAGTTGTGCTGGAAAGAGTATAGGCTGTGGCCAAAGGGCAGTGAAAGTTGCAAAGCCAGCTTGGGATACCGATGCAGCAAATCTAAAGCACAGCTAACCTCAGTATCCACTTTCATCATTGCTGTTGAATAAATAATCTGTATCCATGGGAATATTAATGTCCCAGGGTACTGCAAGGTGCAATTATCAAATCCATTGTCATGAAAGGGCAGCGTAAAGGTGATGGGGGAGGAATCACTTTTCTTCTTTGGATGTTTTTCTGGCTATCTAAATAGCATGAGACTAAATAACATGAGACACTGATCTATTGTTTCATTCACCCTAAGACTGTCATTTTTTCAAATAGTCTTATTTTCAGGTTCTGGATCCCAAATTTTTACAATCAATCACAGAAACTAGAACAGAAGGAGGTACTGTCCAGAAAAATAAAACTGTATAATTACTCACCGGCTAGTGTTAAGAGAGATAAGCTGCTTAGTAATTACATTATAAGGAAGCCCAAATTCACCAATGCCACCTCTCTGACCTTCCCGCCAAATCTTGTGAAGGTATTCCCTCTGGGCATCTATCTAAAACTCAGCAATAAACACAAGTGACATTAGCCAATAAAATTCACGCATAGCTAGAAATCAAGGCAAAACCAACTATTCTTCATTTAAACATAAGCTGCAAAAATTTCTATTTATATATATATATATAAATTTCCAAGTCAATTATATATATACCCACTCTAGATTAATTATTCCTGCTAAAATTATTTTGCATCTTTCATATTCCTTCAGAACAAATTTGAACTTCAATGGTGCTGACAAGGCTGTATTTTTATTGCAAGCAATACGGTAGCATTAGTGGAAACAGCAGCACAACAGCAGCCTCTTGTATCAAGCCCCACATTTCCGTTTGTGGATTAAAAGCCAAGTTAAAAAGGTTAGCTAATTAAACTTCCCAACTTGCAGCCTTGGAAATCAAAGCTCAGAGAAAGGAAATATCTTGTGGCAGGATACAGAGGAAAGCTGAGGCAGATTTTTAAATGATAGGAAAAATACGAAGATTTCAAATGTGTTTTCATTATTAGCACAGGAATTCACAGCTATCTGAAATATACTGCTTTTCAAAGTGCACTTGAAAGTACAAGCTTTGTTTATATTCTTTTTAAAGTCTCTTCTTTCCTACTATAAACAGAACTAGTTCCTTATCCACTGCATTACAGAACAAATATAGATTATAATTTTATTTAGCTTCCACACTTCTCAACTATTATTTATAATTGTCTCAAACGGTAGCAAATGTGGCTTTAACATGACATATGAAGCTCTGCAATCTTTCCATCATTTTCTTTCTGATATTGATGAAATTGTAGCTTTCTGCTCTTGAGCCTCAGGCCTTCAACTTACCCAGTATCCACAGATTTCATTATTAAATTAGTATTGACCCATCTTAACACTGTAAAACCATGTAGGCTGTAACCAAAGCTTCCCGTTCTCGATTTCACCTCCTACTTCCCCAAGCTGGATATACTGTAAATTCAACCTACTTGTTGGTTTACTATGTCCTTCAGCAGCTGGAGGTGAAGTTGTAAACAGATGCATTCATCTTTGTAGGTGTTGACAAAATATTCAAGCTTGAGATCAAACCTTGGACGTTTATGCATGATGTCAATTATAGCTTGGGCTAAAGCAAATCTTTCCTCTGGGTCCAGAGCATGTTGATAAGCTTCAAAGTAAACATCTAGAAGCTGAAGAGATATTCAGAAGCACATTTAGAAATGTTTATTCACCCAAATATTCATTCTTTGTTGGGGAGAGATTTCTGAACATGGAGTTTGTCACCTGTATCAAACCAACAGTGACCCAGTATGGCATCTTATTTCTGGCACAGGATATTAATTGATGCTTCATCAGAAGGCTCAACAACAGAACATAGAACAAACTGACCATATGAGAAATTTCTTCCAAATCTTGCCCAGTTAACATGTTTTTTTTTCGTCTGAAGCATGAAGATTTTTATTCTGCACATTTTTCCCTTCAAAAAGTAACAAGACAATGTACTTACTACTTTAAAAACACCTACTTCTTTCCACTCTAATCCATTCTCTGTTTCTTTTCCAGCACACACACTGATTTTGCATCTTTGAAAAACTCCATTTGCCCCAACCTGAAACCTGCAGACTCATCCAAAAGTCCCCGTTATCTCATTTGGCAATGACTGTCACAGTTACCTTACATTTTTTGGAGAAATACCAAATTAATTGAAGATGTAATTAAAGATGCACAAAGGCACATGCCCTCTTCAGGCTCCTCTACCAAGAATAGTTGTAAAGTTTTACTTAAATAAAAATTTTAATTACACAGACCCACAACTTAGAACATAAAAAGAAATGTGCCAAGCACATGTGACAGCATGTGAACTCTCAAGGTGACGTTGTACTACTTTTTGGTCAGATGGCAATTAGATGACTGAAAATATGAACACCCAGTGCTCTTGCTTCTGGACAAATCGGTCATGTCAATATGAAATGATCTAGATCTGGCTATTTTGCATTGACACGCAAGTAGAAAAACATCCATGCTAGTTTCCATACTGAGACCAGAAAACTGTGGAAGAGGAAGATGCAGGAGGGCGTAGGAGGTAACTTGGTAGCTGAGAATTCAGATTTCAATGGAAAGAGTTGAGTCCTCTGATTTAGACCTGCCTGAACTGAAGTGTTCTGGAGGAAGCAAAGACAGTGCTTGAGCAACAGGCCATAAGCAAGTTTTATATTGGCTAAGCTAAGCTGTCTCAGCTGCTGGACAAAGGGCTATTGTTTCCTCATTCAGAAAGAACTCTGTCCAGCTGGAAACAAAGCTAGCAAGAACCACTTCCATTTCATTTCAGTTAAAAGCAAAAGACCTCCAGCAACAGCACATCTGTACATTTAATCCTGCCTTGGGAGTTGGGTTGTGAGAGCAGATCAAGAATATACTCTTTGAGGGTTTTGGAAGAGAATTAGTGCACTGTTGCTGTAGACATTTCATTCTTCTCTGCTGGGAGTTTTTCTTCCCAAAAGAAAGCAAATTTCCTTATATGGAAGGCCTGTGATAAAAATAAAAGGCAGAGTCACAGAGGTAGCATGATCATACAGCAGTGGAAAGAGAAGTATATTGGGATGAGAACAGAAACTTTGTGAACTAGGCAATTAGATAGTATTTTATATAGCTCTGTAACACAAAGCCCCTCTATGAAAATGGGAGAGTGGCCTTAGGAGATTTCCTAAACTACATACAACTATTTTAGTTTAAAAGGTTTTCTATTTATAGCCTCTTCAGTGGTACACAGGAGATGCCCTAACACCCTCTAGCATTCCTATTTTGAGAGCTGCCCTGTGTTACTCCAGGTCTGAGAACAAAACATTTGAAGTGTATGAAGGCAACCTCAATTAGTGCCATTTCTCCCTTCTTTGGAAGTGGACTATCTGCTCCTTTCCACTTCCTGACACTCACAGCATTGTGGGACTCACCAGTCCCAAAGGCAGGAATATGCTTCCAAACTCCTCTGGGTCCCTTCCTCTGAACTTGTCTACTCTTCATCGTTCAAGACTGAAGTCTTTGGGCAGAAACCCTGTATGCTTTCATATCCCATGGCAACATACAGACTCATGACTAGATTCAGTGAGGGGAAGGGGAAAGCCTGCAGGATATACAGCAGCCCTTGTGAATGGCAAAGCTACAAATCACTTATTGCATTTTTAGTGTTGGTTTGTTGGGTTTTTTTAACTCCATACTAAATAATGGCATTTTTTGCTCAAATAGAACTATAGAATCATAGAATGGTTTGGGTTGGAAGGGACCTTGAAGATCACCTAGTTCCAACCCCCCTGCCATGGGCAAGGACACATTCCACTATATCAGTTTGCTCAAAGCCCCATCCAGCCTGGCCTTGAACACTTCCAGGAATGGGGCCTCCACAACTTCCCTGGGCAACCTGTTCCAGTGTCTCACTACCCTCACAGAAAATAATTTCTTCCTAATACCTAATCTAAATCTACCTTTTTTCAGTTTAAAACCATTACCTCTCATTCTACCGTGACACTCCCTGTTAAAGAGTCCCTCTCTATCTTTCCTGTAGGGCCCCTTTAGGTACTGGAAGGCTGCTATAAGGTCTCTCTGGAGCCTTCTCTTCTCCAAGCTGAACAACCCCAACTGTCTCAGCCTATCTTCATAGGAGAGGTGCTCCAGCCCTCTGATCGCCTTCGTGGGCCTCCTCTGGACTCGCTCCGACAGGTCTATGTCCTCCTTATGGGGCTGCAGAGCTGGACGCAGTACCCCAGGGCGGGTCTCACAAGAGTGGAGTAGAGTAAAATACATTAACTCACAAAGAAGAAATAAATTTATAATATATATAGAATCATATATCCAGGTTTTATTAATAAATGGATTATTTTTTTATGCTGTAATATACAAAATTTCTCTCTGGTTCCTTCTGACAAAGGGTAATCCAAATGATGGGGCTACCTAGCTGCAGACTGAGTCTCTTTACCCTGGGCTTCACAACGATGCAATGATTACAATTCTAATGACAGCCATAAAAAGTTCTCTGCACCCTGTCCAGAAAGCAGGGACAGCCAGGACCACAGGAATAATTTGCATCTTGGACTTTCTGGTGGCCCAGGCTCCTCCAGGCTGGACGTGATTCTTCCTAGTCTATATGTACTCCATTCCCTGGCATGCAAACAGGGGAAGAAAACTCTCTGCAGTTTTGCTTTGGAGATGGTCTTGTCCTTCCCAGTCATCTTTTCCAGTGGTGTATGGCTCTCCCTAAGGCCTTGCAGAAGTGTTTCCAACCCATGGCACAGCAGCTACAGACACTGCTGTCTGACAGCAAGAGCACATCTGCTCCCTTGTTGCAAAAGCCATTCCATGTGGTCCTTTGGACCCAACTCACAGCACCCACCAGCTCCAACTCTCTGCACCCATCCTGGCACCAGGCTCCCAAAGCATCTGAAACCGATACCACCACCTGTGGTTGCTGGTTCTGACATCCATGTGTATACACAAAGGGAAATGCAGTTGAAAGGGAACCTTGCACAACCTGAAGTGAAAAGATTGCAAATCACTGTTTTCAGACCAAGAAAAGCTTCTGTACCTGGCATTTTTTTTCCAAGAAAGCAGTTTCACAGGTCCAGAGGTCAAGCAGAACAGCACATCGATCCACAGAGGCATGTGCCCAGCCAAGGATGTTGCTGCCACTGAACTGCTCACAAGTTACATTGCCTAAGACAAAAAAAAAAAAAAAAAAAAGTAGAAAACAAGCAGATGCCAGTATCAGAGGGATTTCCACATGCCTAGAGTTCCAGGGCTTGTGGTAATTCTTTTTATTTATAGCACAGTGTGGTGGGTTTTGCTTGCCAGGGAACCCCAGGCCAGAAAAATATTTCAAGTCCTGTAAGCTTTGGAGGGCCTCAGAGTATTCTGCAAGGCAAAGAACAAGCACACCAGGCATTTGGTTTAAACATATCTCTTCCATCACCTTTTATCAAATATTCCTTGAGAGGCTGGAGTTCAAAAGATCCACATCAAGAAATAAATCCAGAGAAAGCACAAGAAAACTAGGGGAGGAAAGTGAAGAGAAGCTTAATTTTTCACAGCACCAAATTGTGTTGGGACCTCCTCACCTTCATTCTCAGACCAAAGAAAAGCAGCACAGACTACTCAATGATAAATTTTATAAAGAGATACAGCAGGGCAGAGTGCTGACCCAGGGGAAGGCTTTCTTTTCAAAAGGCTTGCTATTAGAAAAGACAGTCGTCATACTTTAAAATGACTGTGAAGGAACGAAAAAAGAATCACTACAAATGTTTCTACACAAGCAGCCTTTGAGAAACCTTTAAAGAAATCATGCTTTTGGTTTCTTGGTTGTGATATTATCTAAATTAGAGCTAATTTTGACAATGATAAATCAAGCAGAGTGAATCTGAAATGTTTAGAGCTTCAGAGTTAAAAATCAGCCATGGGGTAAATAGAAGAGGCTTCAGCAGCTGCTCTCAGCTCCAGACTTTAAGTGTCTTATTTTTCAAAAGCTGAACAAAAGAGTCATTTGAAGTCTATGAGCACTGGAGAAGTCAACATTAAAAGTGTTTGGGTCCATGGCACACAGAAAGAGACCATAACAAGAAGGAGCATAAGGAACTAGGACAGGGTGTACATGATCAGCCCTCAAGTGTACTGTGTGAGGGTGATAATGAAGTGACCTATAAACACAAGAACTGCTACACCAGACTCATTCAGTAGTCTGCCTCCTGTAATTACAGAATCACAGAATAGCTGAGGTTGGAAGGGAACTCTGGAGGTCATCTAGCCAAACCTCCTGCTCCCAAGCAGGGCTACATAGGGTGGTTTGCCCAGGGCTGCGGACAGTCAGATTTTTAGTATCTCCACATTTGAATATCTCTCAGCAACCTGTGCCAGTGTTTGACCACATTCACAGTAAAAAAAAAAGTGTTTTCTTGTGTTCAGATGGAATTTCATGTGTTTCAGCTTGTGGCCAGTGCCTCTGGTACAGTCAGTGGGGACTGCTGAGAAGAGTCTGGCTCCCTCTTCTTCATTCCCTCCTAACAGGTATTTATACACACTGATTAGGTCCCTCCTGAGCCTTCTCCAGGCAGAACAGTCCCAGCTCTCTCAGCCTGTCCTTATATGAAAGATGGTCCAGAAAAAGGTCCACAATGAAGACCTTCAGGTGATTTCAAAGGAGGTCCTAGCAGGCATTTAGGCTTTCACAGGTTTGTAAAGGTTTTTGGTCATTTAATCCTCATCTCTGCCTTGCATTCTATGTCAGAACATTCGAGTTTAAGGAAGAACACAAAAGCATCAAAACCAGTAATTCCAGTAATTTAAGAGATATTTTGTGCAATTCTCTGAATATCATACATGTTTGTGCCATTTATTCACTGTTTTCTATTGGCCCTCCCCCCATACTTTCTACAATTACAAGTTTCTTCCTCCTCACTATTCTACAAGTACAGCTGCTCTTTTTAGAAATCTGTAATACAGTCTGCCTCAACTCAGTTCTTACTATATAAAAAAAAAAAAAAGCAGCAGGAAAAAAGGAAGTTTAGAACATCAAACATTTTGCAGCTTTTTATTTACAACTGAGAAAAGTTTAAAAGTGGTGGGAGGTAAATTTAGTTCTGCAGAAAAGCAATCTAATACATTAATTAAAAGACATGCAGAAACAATTAACATTTTTCTTCTCTGACTCTCTCTCTGTGCCTTGAAGATGTGCTTGCTCATTATATTACTTAACTACATCAGTAGATGTCCCTTCTGTGTTATTTTCCCCTCCAGGATGACTTTGATGTCTATGACCCTGAATAAGTGCAAAATTGCGACATTAACAACATGTGACAAGCAATTCCACATGCTCAGTTAGGTCTTTGTAACACATTCATCACCTAGCTAACTAGGATAGGATAAAGAAATGTCCCAAAAATCCGGTCAGCATTTGGTCTTGCAGAAGTACAGCAACGATTCAAGAAGTCATAGGATCGGCCTACTTTGAAAACAGCAAACCAAATTATCACAGGTCTTTTGGACGTGTAGATACCTTACTTTTCTCTTTCTTGATGTACTGGCTGGCCACAAGCAGCAGCTGGTTCTCAAGCTCCTTCAGGTCCTCTAAAGCCACATCGTATATTATGTAAACACCTCGCTGGTCCTGTGTGTGAATGTATCCATCTTCACTAGTGTGAAAGTCGCCGTGGTTTTCCACCTCTGCAAACTCCATGAACTGAGTGCTGTGGACCTGTGCCATGAAAAACAGACACAGAGATACAAGCAGCTCCGCAAGGATTGCAATTCTGTATAATCAACAGATCTAAGGGTGGACCTGGCCTAGGAACATGAGGAACATGGTATTTTGTCACTAGCAAAGAACAATATTGCCGAGATATTATTTTTTACAGGTAACACCTACACTGTGGCTTCATTTATACTATCATGGAGTAAGACAAACTGTATGAAATTACTATTGTGCCTACTATTTCCTTCGGGCATATAAATCTACAAAAAGCACCACGGAGGCACCAAAATGAGAAGACTGGCTCCTGAACTAAGGTAGAACTTTTTCCCCTTTTTTAATTTAGCTCAAATTTGGCAAAAAGTCTCTTAAATTCTAATATTAAAATATGAAGTCAACATATTTTTTAAAAACTTCTTGGGTAAGTTACACTTGCAAGATTTGGAGATAAGCTCACACGCACAAAGACTTCAGTACTAATTAAAAGGAACACCCATTGACTGATGTCCCGAATTGCTGTGACATCAGCACTTGTTCAATAGAATAGTTCAACAATGACCTTATTTTTCTAAAAAAACATCAGCATCTATAAAAGAGAATCATCTACCCTGGCAGTGAGTCACTAGTTAGTTTGGTAACACCCCAGGCAAGAATCCAGTACTGCAGTCAGCAGAAGCGGCGCTAGCTTTCAAAATATTCTGTTTCTTGACTAGGAGTGCCACAAAGGGAATTACATACATCTACCTCTTGGTGTATAATTACAGAAGTTAATCTCCCAGTGTAAATAAGCACTTGGTACAGTGGTATAGCCATAGAAACCTTCAAAAATGGCTCTTCTTCTAAGAAGCTAGCAAGCAAATATAAGCTCCTCATTTCCCACTGTTTGTTTTTACTATTTCCTGGTATGTAATGCACCTTTGTTCTCACTTCAGTGCCAAAGAATGATGTACAATGTATTGGGACTTCCTCCTTTCACTGGCTCTTCTAATATAAGCCTTTACAGGATCCCCAGTGCTACCCAAAGTTTACCTGCTAGCACCTGAATGTCTCAAAGGAAAGGAAAAGGTCTTTGCTTTAGTCATGGAAATCTTAATCAAATTTAAACGTACTGGGAAGAACAGCTTGCCAGCCTCACAGATCTATGCTGGATCAGAATTCATTCTTTACCATAAAGTTAATGAGGCAGCCCTTCAAAATGTACACATTATTTGAACATAGTGTTGGATCAGCCTCGTCAGGTTCCTTTCCTTTTTTCACTGCAGTGTTCTGCACTCTCTGTTCTTTCATTATTCTTCTGAACAGACTATTTGTTTCACCGCTTTTAGCGATGTGGTGCAGAATTTGCTAAAGGTTAAATCAAAGCCCTTTATAGAAGAATTAAATTCAACTTGATTTAGGCAAATAACTGAGCTAATACTGGGCTGACTTCACCATAGCAGATAGAAGGGGCTTTTAGTCATGTTTTTAAACATCCTTATGGAGAATATTCATTGAAATATCTCCACTTTCAAGCTTGATTTTTTTTCTGATGATTCCTGCTCTGTGCCACTCCTAAAAATCTCAGTCAAGACTACTGCATTCTGCAGAATGGGCATGTGACTACAAAACTGGAGAGTTCTAACAAAACCAAAAAGAAATTAAGACTTTCTCCCTGTTGTGTTTGTTTTAGGAGTCATATTTTAAAGAGACTACCCAAGCCTTCTAAAGATTACTTATGCCAATAAAAAACATTAATACCCACTTATATGTCTATAACAACAAATCAAGTAACTGGATATTTATGTGTGATGCTTTTTGCCTGCGGGTTTTTGCTTTCCTTCTCTAACTCTGCTTAGATTTACTGGGGCTTGATAAATCCCTTTTGAGTTATAAAGCAACAGTTATGCACCTACATATATTTTATCTACTTTATTCCAAGCTGAATCTCAGCAGGGGACAGAAAAGAGTTTTAATTTAATGTAATGTATTGTTTTGCAGGGCCTTCTGTCATTGGAACTCATGTCTCTGATAATTTCCATCCCAAGCAGTCTGCTAGGAAGCGTGCAACACTGCCTCTGAATCTCGGTTTCGGATACATTGCCAACTGAGCCATCACACGGGCTCACAGCTTGCAACGCGGAGGGATTCATAACACAGGTACACCTCCAATTTTGGGCATAGAGGAGATGCTAAAAGTGTTTTAAAAACAATGCTACATGCTTTGGGTTTATAGCACGTGCCAGAGAGTATGTTAGATAGGTCTCAATTAGTCTGCCAGTAAAATGGCTTTATTATTGTTTCGTTCTTGAGAGACAGTCTGTGCAGTATATTTTAAAAAAAAGAAACACATTTGAAGCTGTTTGTTGTTAAGGAAATACTGTTGCCCCTGCTTGTAAATTTCTTGCCAATTAAACTGTAATAGGATTAATAAATATTTATCTAAGCTTTAGTTGAAGTTCAAGCGTATATATCTATATCCATGTTCAGGGGAAGGAGGAGCCACTGTGAAATAACGTCTCTCTCATTGCTTGGAGCTCTCTGAAGTATTTCACAGCTAATCTCCAGATCAGAGAGTGCTTAGACCGAAGGTCAGGATTGATCTTTGCATCATTTCTTCTACGACAGAAAAAAAGGGAATGAACATAAATGTATATTATGCTGAGTTCAGAAGGGGAGTTTGTCACAACGCCTGCTTCCCAGAAAACCGACACCTCCCATTGGAAAACATAAGTTTTTAAATTACCTTTTCTGACTGGAAAATTCGAAGATGCTGGACCACCCCGTTCAACATTTCTTAAGGGGAAAATCACTTTTTTCTAGTTCCAAGTAACTTTTCATTTAGGAATTTTAATTTACTAGATTTTTAAAGGATAAGTGTGTCCATATTAGAAATAAAACTAAAGATACCTTAAAAACATCATCAACTCCATGTCCTCCCCACACATTTCACATTTCAAAGAGGTTTAGATTTTTTTATGTTTAGGGACATAAAGTTTTTTTCTGATTTTTTTCTTTGGGGGGAGGGGAGTTGAAGTCTTAATATAAGCAACAAACGGCGGCCGGAAGCCTAGTTCCTTTTTGGTTCTACCCACAAACTTTGGGATGAGTGTTAGGTAGTAGGGCTGCAAGGAAATTATACAGCTCAAAAGACAAAACACTACATAACATCTAAACCACTAATCTCAGCATGATGTATTGATTCTGTTCAGTATATTTTACAAAAAAGTTGGGGAAACCAAAGTTTGATAAGCCTTAGGAATTTAATTCAAATTATTATTTCTCCCGTCTGTGAAGCTAAGTGTACTAATTATATCACTTCAGCCACATGCCCTCATATAAGGTTAAAAAACAGTAAGTCCTAAACTCTACCTAAATCTAAAGAATACATTTTAGAAGTCGTTAGGAGTTACTTAAACAAGAATTTCCATAAATTGCAAAATGCCTCTAATTTCTCATGAACATGGACTCTGCGTGATAATCCTGCACTTGAAAAGGTCCCAGTTTAAGCACAGCCAACAGCACCGGTCTAAGTAGATGTTTATCTGGCAGGCAGTATTGGCATTATACTTCGATGTGTCTGAAGTTTCTCAGAGGTTTGCTCAGACCGCTGGTAGACACAGGTGTTTCCCTGTTAGGTGTAAGGTGAGACACGTGGTTCTGAGGAACAAGCTACACTGAATCCCTCAGATGACTCAGCAATTGGTCTCAACATAGCTTGCACAGAAGAGAGAACTGGATTAGGTACTCCAGTTGAAGTACACGTTTTGGAAGACAAAAGGCTGGGTGGTACCTCACCTTGTAGTCTGCCGGTGTGTAGTGAACATATGGCTGTGAACTCAGGCCACCAAAAGCACCAGTGCCTCCTTTGGCAGCACTGACCCAAGAGGTGTCTTCTGCACTGGGAATTAGGTGACCAGCCTTGAAGGAGAGGCCAGAGGTACTGATGGTCAAGCTTCTCTCCACGGACCTGAAGTAGTTAAGGATCCCCAGGCACAGTCGCTGAAACAAACCGGAGCAAATGCACAACTGCATTTTCAGTTGGATGACAGCTCTCCTCTTAAAAAAGTTAACTCTGATCTCTGCAGATTTTATGTTGAGTTTTTTTACCTTTAGCTCCCGAAGTCTCAGGTGACGTAGGAAAAGAAGGGACAAGTAAGCTCCTCTCCTCACCACATGCTCCCGGTGGGCAGTCGTGCCCTCTTCTAATCCTAGCAGCTGCGAGCTGCCCATATAACTATACCTTTTTTCCAGACAGAAAAAAAGTAATTACATTTTTGCTACTCAAGGAGATTTCTAAACCTTTCTAAAGTAGGCAGTTTTGTTATGTCTATTGTCTAAGAGAAGGCTGCTGCTGCCTACGGGACTGACTATCATGGAAACCTGTGGTATGGAATAATGGAAAAGGATGGCACTACTGCTTCTGTCAGAGATACGGTAGGTTGAAATCAATTATTCTTCCTTCTTTCAGTTTTTTTTTTTAAATATATACAGACATATATATACACATAAACAATTTTTTACCCTCTTTCATTCTTCTTTCCGAAGGATGCTGCAGGCTTACTGGAGCTGATATTTCCTACATCCTCCCCAATGTGAGCCACAGCTGTGTTATTATCCTCAGTAGTTAGTTCCTAGTTCCAACACACATAGTTAAAAATTAGTGTGGCACGTATGCATATGATTCTTATTTGCTTTATGTATGGGCTTTGTCATAACAAAAGGAAAAGAAAAGAAAAGGAAGTTCCATACTGGATGAAATTCATAATCCAGCAAGCAGTGAAATTATTGTGGCATATAACTCTGCAATATTTGATTGCTTTCTAGTCCTTAATGTTTTATCCTTATAAAGACCCCGAGCTGTATGAAAGAGCTATAGCTGTTCCAAAGACAAGACAAGGCAAGGGTCAGATCAAGGAAATTTTCCAAAGAAATTCAGAAAACCTGGTTCATCAAAACCTCAACCCAGTTATGGCTAGTGACATGTCTGACCTCCTAGTCCATCCTTTTTCCTCCTGCTATAAAAGAAAAACTGATTTTTGGGCTCCTGCAGATCATAGGCTCAGCATGGGGCAAAATCATAGTGTGGCAATAAAGTAGTAACATCAGACTCGGCTGTAGAAAAGTTTTACTATGATGTACACCCCAACACAAGCATACATTAAATGCTCTAGCTAACATTCTGTAAAATTAAATTCAGTAGTTGCATTTTTTTCTCACTCCTTTCCAGCACACTCAACAATGTGGTACACAGAGCAGCAGAAGAGCAGCAAGCAGGAAAATAGCTATTGCCTTGTTATCAGCTCCATAAAGGCTTTCTTGCATGCATCACATCAGTGAAATTAAACTGGCATTAGTACCAGTGTAAATGAGAGTATCACTATGAGTCACACAGTATTTATTAATTGTGGAACATTATGGACAGTGATTTACTAGGCGCTATCCAATTAATTTCTCAAACAATCTAGTATATAAGCAAAATTTGTCCTCTTAACCCACTTGTCTACCCCAATTTATTTTACCACTTCATTTGAACTTGGATGGCATAAGTTGGAATTCTTTTCAGTGTGTTAAGGGGTTTACAGCATTGATTTTGGCATTGGTTTTTTTTATGATTAGAGAAAATTCTATCAATGTATCTTCACAAATTGGTGCTTGTCAAATTTATCCTGCTTAGCGTGAGACATCCTAACAAAGTTACTCATTGAAGTGACACAGATAAACTCAGGACTATGTTGGCTGTTCTATAAATTTGCAAGTTGACATGAGTATATTGTCTCCAAAAATTCCTTCAAGCCATACAAATACTGATGTCAAACTGTCAAACAATGAATTGTTTACATAATCCTTGCAATGATAGATTATCTGTTAACTGATATCTCTGTCCTTACTAAGCATGATCATCCTCACTCACCCTGTCTTCATTGACTCCAAAGGTCTAATTTCTTAAACTTTAGAAAAACTAGGTCCTACAATCTCTATAACTTAAAATAATGTGAGGTCAAATAGAACTGAAATATATTTTCCCCAATCAGCTGCATTAATTGTACATCTCTTAAATATCACAGTAAGTATATGGACTAAGCACATGATGAAGCATTCCCACTAAAAATTTCCACTTTAAAATGACAATGCTGTCTGAAAAATGCCAGTAAAATGATGAAAAAAAGGTAGCAGCTGAATTTTTGTTTTAAAAACACTGAGATGCGGACAGAGCTTTTTTTGTGTAAGGTCTAATTCTAGCTTTGCTACACCATCATGACTAGACTGTTTCAAAATTAGGTTTTTGATTAACCTAATGCTGCTGAGATCAGTCATGTCCCTTGCATTGTCCCCACATAGGTACCCTTTCCCAACCCAGTCGTGGACTTGACAGAGATTTACAGTGCAATCATGTTTTTCTTACTTTTTTTTTCATTAATCATCATGTAGCTTGCATGAGTCAATCCAATGTGTTGGGTTTTTTTTTTTTCCTGAAGTTTTCATTAAGTAATGAAATATTTCCTGGTCAGCATCAGCCTGAGGTAGGAAGAACTGTATGTTTTTTTAACGTGGGAGATTTTCCTGACAGAAAAATGCAGATTTATTTTTGAACACAGAGTTGGTATCAGGCTTAAGGCTGGATAATCAGCTGGAAAGAGGGAACCGGGAGAGGATCCCTGTCTCTCTCCCCCTGTTCCATTTCCCCTGCTCCTTTATCACTTGCTTCCCCATTTGGTCCTGGCCAAGAGCAGGGGTGCAAGAACTTCTCATTAACATTGAGGCTGCATCCAGCCCCAGTAGCTGAGACCTTTCCTTCCTCTTTAAAAAAGAAGAGCAGAGTAAGGATATTGTTTAGTCCTTTCTTAACTTGCCACCAGGGCCCACTGGTGCGGGCATGCGGGCACGGGTAGAGTGAGCCAAATGAAGCACAGGAACTTCTGGGATGCAACAGTTCTGTGTGTAATGCTTTGATACTTGTCAAAGCAGCAGCTGTGAACAACTTCTGAGTCAGAAGGACAACAAAGAATTAGGGAATCAAAGTCCATCTTCATCAAAGGGACACCTTCAAATTCAGAGGATTAGTCACAGAGCTTGCCACGGCAGGCATGGCACAGTTATTACAAATTCCCCAGATACCAGCAAGGTAGGTCCTACTTCTCATTCACTACCCTGCCAGCTAGGCCGTTTCTGTTTTTTTTTTTCTCCTTTTCAAAACTTGAAGATCTCTCACAGCTTCTGCTCTCACATCTTCTGAACCTCCGTGAGGCCATGCCCACAAATGCCGCTTCCTCCCCGAGAGGAGGAACTTGCTATCACACCTGCCCCTGCACAAAGCAGCCATCTACTGTCAGGTCAGGTCCATAGGTGCTCGGCTGCTGGACAGCCTCCAGCAACCAAGACATGCCACCATCCTTCTTTCCCTCTCTTCCATACACACATGCTAACCCATTCCCTAATCCCACACTCTCCAGTAAATACTAGAGCAGACTTCTATTTCTTGCAGCCAAATTCACACCCCAGCTCTTCTACAGGCACGTACGCATGTTATTTTTAGGTAGGTGCAACCTCGTGCTTCTTTTGCTATGACTGGACTGGTGGCTGCACAGCAACTAGTGAGCCCCAAGGAAGAGAAGACATCATGTATGCAGCTTGGGCATGCAACCGTACGTTGCAGCTGGGCAGGTCTCCTGCTTAGCAGCAGTAACAGCAGACTGAGTTTTGAAAAAGAGGAACATTGGTATCCAAACAGAAATCTGTTAGAGAAGTCCTCTATCAGAGCTGAAAAATGTCTGCTAGACATGTTAATTGACCATTATTCATCATTTCCCCTTCTAAGTACCTGGTGGAACTCATAGATCTTCTTCCAGATGTGATCGTAGCTCTGCTGTCCTGAGGCATGAGCAGAAGCAGCAGAACTTGACCGCGCATGATGTGTTTCAAACACCACTGCTGCATGATCCTGGAGACCCTCCATCACCCTCTCCATGTCTGAGACCTTGTTTCAAACCACACCAAATACAGACAAAAGATTCACAAGGCAAAATGAGTCAGCGTGACAGCCCCCATCCCACAGTGAGTCGGGGTCAGTTCAGAGCATCTAGTGAGAGAGCCTCTGCAGCACCACTCGTTAGTGCTCCTCCTTAATTTGGGAAAGTTGTCTGCTGCACCCTGTCCAAGGTGAAAATGCAGAAGCAGATTTGTCTGGCACAGCGTACGGAGGGAACGCACCAGATAAGGATGCAAAAGCACTTTTTTTCTAACTGAGATTTATGGAGGGGAAGGACTACTGTGTAATCCCTCTCTCCCTTACTGTTACCCCTGACCCTTTAGGAGGTGTACATGTTTCTTGATCAAAACCAAACATATCGTATTTGGTGACCAAGCCACTATGGAAAAAAACAAGGAGAATTATCTTTTTTTCATTGTCATTCAGTGAGCTGAAGAGCCATTTTAACTTTTGTTAGTGGTGATGACAGCTTTTGCTCAAGCTTTCCAGAAAAATTACATGCTGCGGCAAGATTTGAAAGAATGGTTTCTTTGTGAAATATCTGGCATGAGTAAAAGGTCTGAAAACAGGGATCATAAAAGAAAGCTTATTTCAGTCCTATTTTTTTTTAAAAAAAGACCATAAATGGCTAATCTTTCTAAAAGTATCATCAAAATCAAATCCATTCAATTATTTAAAATATTGTAAAGCCAACTTCAGCTGCAAAGTCTACATGTCCACTTTCTGATTTCTGCAATTTAAAAAGAGTTCTCTCTCAAATGCTTTGTGAGACCCATGAAAGTAAATAATGAATATTAAATAGGAACCAGGGAGACTAAATAAGTACAGAATACTGCCAAAAAAAACCCCAGGTTAAGCAAAATTAGTAGTAGTAAAAAAGAAATTTTTAAAAAACATATCTAATCTCGCAGTACTTTTTTTAATTGTCACTTATATCAGAAGTACAATTTGAAGAATATGGTCGTGCTTCAGCAATTATTGGCATCAGTAAAATTCTGTTGATATGAATTCTAGCAAAGCATTGACAGGAATTCTAAGGGGATTAAGATCAGGAGTTTTATAGGACTCATCTTTATCATCTGTTTTGAACAAAGATGCGAAAAGTCAGGACAAATGGAACCTTGCTTAACACAGTAGGAAAAAAATAATAATCATTAAAAAGGGAAGAGGACAGGGAGCAAGCAGCCTTTAATAAAAATGTAAATTAAATATCAAACTCTACTGAAATTATTTTTCCATTCATTTCCCAAGTATTTCCTTCATTCACTTTCCTACTGGTTGGGAGTCAACACCTTCTGATCGGTTACTGCTTCTCTACTGAACACCATTACTATCCGGTGTTCCACTGCCAAGCACCTTTGTTCCCTTAGAGTTAAATTTATTTTCAGGCTTGTTAGACACTGAAACACAAAATCAGAAGTCAAGCAGTGGGAAGAGGCTTGGGGAAGGTGAGCAGGGCAGGAAGCCAGGAGCCTCCACGTTCCCTTTCCAAAGCCAGGGGGTAGTTTGCTCCAGCACAGCCTTATCATCCTCATGCCTTCAGCCCAACAGAAGCTGCTCACTAAGGCTCCCTGTCGCCTGTTTCACTGAGGTCAGCTTCAGGTGTAGGCAAAGCAAGTAGCTGCCTAAAGATGATACAGGGGACTGATGGGATCCTAAGCAATCCTGAGACAGCTGGGCAGATGGGAAGACCTCTCCCTCTCCCTCTCCCTCTCCCTCTCTTCCTAGTGTCCCCCAAGGAAGGCAGCAACCCCCACAAGGGGCCCAGGTCAAGGTTTGCCCACAACTAGACAGTGGGGGTTCTTCAAGCCTGAGGACAGAGGTATCTGGATGGACTACAGCAGTGGTTCCTTGGGGAGAGAAGACCAAGGAACTTCTGGTGACATTTCAGGGCTGAAATAGCCTCACATGAGCTGGACACACAGCTTTAGGCTGCTCTGGTGTACCCAACACTGCCTGGGCACTAAAGGAAGAAAGACAGCTCACCAAGGACTTTCCACTTGGCAGGAATGTGATCGTTGATAGAACAGGGCACATAGGGGCACAACTCCTCCACAGCTTCAGAGAAGGGATTTCTTTTCTGGTTCCTGTGTAAAACTGGGAGCTGAACTACAAAGTGTCCTTATTGTTCTTAGTGCTTCAGGCTCAGCTGGAGGATGAGAGGCAGTAATCTCATCCTCTGACTGCCAGAGCAGTTTTGCTGGCTGAGATATTTATACAGATCCAGTCCTATAGGAGCAGTTCACCATCTTAATTGCTTAAGTTCTCCTCATCCTTGAGAAGCAGAGAACTACTGTTAGGCCAGTTTTACAGACGAGGATACCAGACCTGCTAAAATTTCACTGGAAAAATGTGACAAGACCCCAGTACACCTGACCAACCTGTCACACCCTGCAGTTCATCCAGGCATCTGCAGCAGGCGTGAATGAGCGAAGATAACTGGGCACAGGCAACTCAGCCCTGCAGGGTACAGTCAGTGAGTAAGATGTAATTAAGACAAATGAATACCACTCTTCACAGATGGCCACCATTTGCAAGACAATGATGTGAGGTGTTAGGGGCGCCTCAGGCCCATTGCGGACGCAAAGCAGGCCTGAGCTGTGAACGAACACTGCCATTTTTTCAGGGAGGCTGGAAAGCAGCCAGCCTAGACAGAGCTGTCCTGCAGCATATCCTCGAAATGGCCAAAACTGGCAATATATCACCAGAACCAAGAGAACCTGTGAAGCTAGAACCAAAATAGAGAGACACTGAGTAACCACTCCCCGGGGCACAGGCGGTCTGTACTTTGTGCCCTATCAAGTTTGAGACTTGTACCTCACTGTTGGAGTCTTTTGACTTATCTTTTGAGCACAGGTCTGAACCTTGGTCACATTAAAAGAAAGCTGTTCTGAGCAATCCCTTTGACACAAATTCCAGGGCTGATTTTGACCTGACTTATGTGAACTTCAGAGCTTTTGAATATTTATGCAAGTGTTCAAGCTGCCTTTTGAAATCACTGAACTGAGAAAGAGGCGGAAAAATATCTCTATAGCACCTTAGTAATGGGTCTTTAATGAATTTGGGTATAGACACATGATACATAAACCTGAAGCAACCTTTCTCCAGACATTTCAATTTCCCTGGCAGTGTTCAATAAATAAATTACAATTCTTTTAAATTAAATCACATTAAGTTATATTACCTCTACAAATTTTGAATGAAGGTCCATCAGCTTATCCACTTTTTTCCATTGTTTCAGTTTTATCAAAAGCTTTTGCTGCCAGGGATCTACTTTAGGTTTAATCTGGTCAAGATAAAAGTAACCACAAAACTTATGAATGCTTTTGGTATAGGAGGCAATATTTAGTAAGAAGAGTGCAATACATTCACTTTTTATTTTCAACAGAAATATAGTAGTTTGATAAGGCCTGCATTATGAAAAAAATCATCACTCTATTTGTCAAAAAGAAAAACAAACCAACCATTTTGGACTTTAATTGCTGACATGTATCCTGGTACCTCCTGAAGACTGGTTAGGATAACACAACCGAAAAAGGAAAGTTCCTCATAATTACCTTTAAAAAAGGGATCCAGTTGGCTCTCTTTTTCAAAGCCCTGGCTGGATCTAGCATGCCCCAGTTCTCTGACCTAGAAACCTCTGCGTCATAAACTGGAAATGTTCTCATCGTCTGCTGTTTGCAGAAGACACTTCTGAATTTTTGGACAACCTAAAGCATAAAAGGAGATGGTACCATTATAAATTTCCCAAGCTGGATATTAAATCCTGTAGCAAAGTAATACTGCATATTATCAGCCCAGAAAAATAAATAAATGGACTATTAAAGTGACAAAGGAGATTCTGGTCCTATGTTTTCTTTCCTTTCCAGCAGACACAATGAAACTCCCTGCTGTTAACTCTGGAGCTTCCAAAAAGAAGACCAGGATTTTCAAAAGCACTTATTGTCTTTCAGTCAAAGTCAGTGGCAAATTTATTATCACTGGCTTCAGTAGGAACAGCATTAGCCTAGAACATGTACTTAGAAAATCCTGCTCAAAAACGAGTAAACCCCTTACAGCCCACAATGCAGGTAATTTACATCATTACCCAGTTGTGTAAACACGTCTGCCCGTGCTTATCTCGGATAGTCCAGTGAATTCAGCTGGACTAGTCAAATGTTAATTTGATGAGAGACTTACAGATCAGTTTATGCAACCCAACCTTTGTCCTTTTCAGCTGTACCACCTGTTCTCATACAAGGCGCGATTGGTAAGGCAAGCCATGTATTTAAAAGCGGTATGTTATTTCTGTTTAACAGTTACGCGTCTCCTTTGGACCTTGGACCCACGATGGAGATTTTCGGTTGGTTTTGCCTTTTGAGTGACAGAAAAGCCGAAACCAGCGTTTTTCTGCTGGTAACCCTGGAGCTGGGGGAGCTCGGCGGGGCCCTGGGCGATGGTGTGTCGCAGCCGACCTCTAGTGGAAGTACTACAGCTCGGGGAGACACCAAACAAGGGGAGGAAAACTCGAGAAAAACGGACAAAAAAATGCACGAGTGAGAGCTGGGAGAACAAAGGTACGGACTCGGGGCCATGATGCTGAAAATACAAACGTCAGCAATTGCTCTAGCCCAATGAGAGCGAACCGGGTTTTGCTGCTGCTTCCTGTCAAGAGCAAAAACACCCACAATCGTATTTTTCCGTGATGCAAAACACTGACTTATAATAAATGGAACTTCCTTCCATACTTTCAAAGACCTTTTTTAACTTTCTTTATTATTTTTTTTCCCCCCATTTTTTAATATTGAGAAGTACGCTTCAGTTACCAGGGAAAAGAGCTCCATCTCATCAGCTGAGTTCTTGAGGTCCTTAAGGTTGTAGCCAACACCAAAGTGAGAAAGCAGAAGCTGGAGCTGAGGTTTCAGCTCCTCAGTTTCAATGCTGTGCCGGGCCAAAGTGAACCCAGTGTCCTTGTGGCAGGATTCTGCAAAAAGCCATAATCAGACCAGCTGGAGAACTTCAACACAGAACGAGAAATATGTCAGAGAATGGAATGTGTTGGGAGGGGGGAACCTACATCTTATGGATTTTTTTTTTTATTTATTTTCATTTTTCTTTTAAGAAAGGGCCTTTCACCAGGCCCCAAAACAATAACAGCTATTGCAGGTCAGGGCACCTCCATGGTCCTTGGAGGAGTGCCTATCTTCCAGCATGGAAAAGATGCCAACTAACAAATCCTACTGCCTGAACAGAGTCCTGGCTCAGGGGTGTACAACATTCTTCTCACACACACACCTCCCAAATCTTCACATGCCACAAGAACTTCAAGTATGTTACTATTTCAGGGTTATCACTCCTCCGGTATCTGATTCTGGCATGATGCTGCTATTGCAAACTTCTGAAACAAGGGTGGACTGGGGATGGCTCAGTTTGGCCTGGTATCAGTGTTGAGCAAGATAGCACCCATTTTTAGAAGAACTGAAATGTTTTCTTCTTCTTCTTTACCTCATCTGAGGCTTGCTCAAGACTTTGAAGGATATCAGTATTCCTTCACCCTTGAGGAGCCAAAACTACTGTGTTCCTGTAAGTTTTATCATCTTTTCTTCCCTTTTTTCAGCTCTTTGACGGGTATATTTAACACTGGGGGTTGGTTGGTTGGGTTTTGTCTTAGGCCAAGCCATAACAAACAGCAGCACTTTTTCTGCTACTACTTTTCCAAAGATTTTTTAAAGTCCAAATATGTGTCAACTGATCCTCCTTTACGCAGTATTGGTGGGTACTGCTGATACACGCAACGATCCTAATAGGTAAGTTACAGGTTGCTAAAGTTCAGCAAAACTCTTGGGGTTTAGTGGAACTGCATATAATCTAATTTATTATCTCACTGTTTCAGCAATAAAGGGCCATCTGTGTTTCTATTCTACGCTTTACTTCAGCTTTGGTTTTAATGTCTTGTTTAATCATTCTGTTGTTTTATCTATGATCTAGACAGCAGATGAATGAAGCTTATGAGAGTAATATGATACTGTTGCTCAAATATTAGATAACTAGATACTGAAGATCAAAATGAGCTAGAGCACTTCTGAGTTGCTTTTTTATACCAATAAGGGTCTACTCCAAGGCAAAATGAATGGTTCAGGTGAACTCTATGACAGATTGGAGGTCTTGTGCCCTTCTCCATACATTATTAACCCACTGTATTGGAGATCATAGATCATCCCTCCCTCTCCTGTTCCGCTCATGTGAAAGAAACATGGCCTGCTCAAGGGGCTCCATTTGAGGAGAAGAGTTTAACCCTTCTCTCCCTGTTCCTTAACACTGCTAAGCACTGTACTCCTGGGGCAGTGCTGCCATATCTCCCTGCCATGGGACCCCCATGGGCCTAAGGAGTGAAAGAGGGTGCCACCAGCACAGCCAATTAGACAAGTCAGCACTTAGTTAGACTACAAACCAAGGGCCAAAGGCTCCTCATCTATCCCAGGTAAATCTGCACTTTCCTTAGCACTGTTCTCAATCAGTTGCCACTGGTTGGGCAGTGCCACTCCAGGCCAGGACTGTACCCTGCTCCCCCGTGCAGACTCACAGGTACATCCCTTGTGGTAGAGGTCTTCAGTGGACAAAGAGACGGGGAGCACAAGTCACAGCCCCTTCTCATTCCTCCACCCTGGCCAGACTATTTCCCAACTGCAAAGAAGAGTCTTACACCCTGCTTTGTCCCCAGGAGAGAGGGGCTGTGCTTTTCCAGAGACAATCCTGTGAGCTCCTGCAGTTCCACACCATTCCCACTCTATCTGTAAAAGCATGGGTTAAATCACAGAGTTCAAACGCTCTTCAAGAGGAATGCTGCCTTGCTTGCTAAGTACCATTCACACAGGTAACTCTACATAAGCAACATCACTCCCTCCCTTCCTTCATGGGGAAAAAGAACCTGAAGATAACCACAAGATTTTTTTCTAGACATACTTCATTGTAAGTCTTAAAACAATAGCTCTCTTCTCTTAGTTTCTCCAGAAATAGGCCACCCACAGAATTATTTGAAATAATATTCTTACAGAAAGTTGGAAGGGTGAGTTTCAGGGTTTGGCATAATCAGGACAATATCCTGGATTCTCCACCGAGTTGATCCCACAAGTATCCTTCTGAACTGCCCGTTTCTGAAGCCCAGGGCACATTAAGGCCAGAGGACTGACTGATACAGATTCAGGGCTCCGCTCTCTGGAATTTGGACACCGGATTTCCAGGATTTCTGCTGACTTTAAAAGCCACGCTTCAAATTTCTCATGCATACAAACCAAGGATGGCAACATTTGCACTGTTGAGCTTTCTCAAAGAACATATACGTCAACAAATGCATTATCTGTAGGACCTGTGGTTTTAAAGGAAAGCTGATCATTTCTCACCATTTCTTCTTAAAACTCTTGAACAGGGAAACACATCAATATTAAAAATATCTGAATTCTTGTCAAAAGCACTTCTTAATTTGTCCCAGTTGTCTTGGACCGCATCAGGACATCTCTCATCAGCCACATTTATCCTGTGGGAAATAGGCAAATGCTGGAGAACCTGGAGATAAGAACATATCTGTTGTTATTCTCAGTCACTTAGAAAGCATACAAACTATTCAGTTGCCAATTTAGTAATAAAATACAACACAGAAAAAACAAGCCATAGTTATCCATTGTGTATAATTCCAGAAGTTTATTCACTGTCAGTGACTTGTAGCACTCATATAATAAAATAATTAAAGAAAGGAGATAAAACAAGGAAGTATTTGGATTTGTCTTCAAAAGGGGACACTTAAATAAACAAATACTCCCCAAGTCTAGACATTCACTGAGATGACTCGGCCCCTTGATGGCATCCTGCTCTATTAAAACATCATTACAGTAATAATACAGAAAAAAAGTCTGTCAGAGCTTTCTCTTTCTCATCCTGGGTCCTCTCAAATCCAAGCAGCCCAACACTATCTACGCTGCACCCAGGGAGCTCATTATTCCCCTTACCCAAATTCAGCTTTGTCATTGTAGTATTTCCTTTCCAGTAAAATCAGTCTGCTAAAAGAATTGAAAGTCATATGTACACACTCTAGGTCATTATCTACAAATCTCTGGATTTCTTTTACACTGAATTTGATCTTTCTCAGTTTACTTTCTCATCTAAGACTTGAATGCTTCAGAATCGTACCTCCCTGTTCAAAAAATGTTCATCTTACCTGGAGAAAACGGTGAATACCCTTCAGAGAGTGTAGGTGACACACTAACCACCGAGTGTAAATCATCAGATCTTCCTGTGTCACTACATTCACCGGATTTTTCTTTCCTGTCAGGAAACTCTCCCTTGCCACTGAAAGTCTCGTAGCCCTCTGAACTGCATCATTGTATTCCTCCATGATGTGACTAATTCGCTTCTGTTTATGTATATAAAAGAGACACTGTGATTTTTGCATTTCTGCATCTTTTTCTGCTATTAGCTAGAGGGCCATTGCATTTCCACTGCATAAGGAATCCTAGTTTGAGAATAATCTCAAAGGTTTATTTCCTTCCTAAATGCTTATGAATGGTATTTCCAACCCAATGAGGAAAAGGGAATTTCAGTCCAAATACTAAATCTCTCTGAGCAGCTAATACTGACCATAAACAGATAGCTGAGAGTGAATGACCAGAGACAAATCCCAGAGACAAATTACCCTGAAGGTTAATAGCTTTTTATTTGGGTGGAAAAAAAAGCCATTGCTAACACTTTGTTTTTCATGAACAGCTACCGTGCTAGGTATGTATGTGCTGGGTTTTGGTTCCTACCTGATAGAGAGGATAAAGCTGTTCAATAACACTGCTGTGTGTACAAAACCTCTTCCATCTAAGCATGTGCAAATATTTACTCTGGACTAGCTGAGTAATTCTGTCTGTAAAAAACTTGAATAAAATCAGAATTAACTAATAAATCACTCATTTGTAAACAACAACAGCCAAACATTATAGGAAACTTAAGCAGTGTACAGATCACCATTAGCATCAGAGAATAACTCCAAAACAACAACTAATCAGTCACCAGAGACCACTGTGCTGTTATATTTATCCATGAAGGATACTCCCACTAGGCTGTCCCGGTAGAAGTATTACAGTGGGAATGAAAAAAAGCAGTTAATACCAGGAAAATGACAGAATTCAGTCTGCTGGACCTAGAAATTTGAACTCCACTTTAAAACTTAAAATAAAAATAAGCCACAACACAGATGTACTGGAACAGCACAAAAGCACCAGGGAATTGGCAGAACCTTGTCCCAGCCCATCCGACCTGGCTGAGGTTCCTGTCCTTCAAAGAAAGAGAAGAGGAAATTTTCACATCGTACTAAGAATCTGCAAGCACTACCATTTGCGTGCCCGTTTTCAGGAAGGAGTTTTTCTTTTCAAATGTGCACAGTGCAACCTTCTGGGCCAGAGAAGAGCTCCTGGCTTTTCGCAGCAAGCGGCAGCCCTACCTGCTGCAGCAGCAGAGGCAAGTTTGCTGCTGTGTACTCCCTTCTCCAGCAGCTCTCTAACTCCCTCTGCATGACATCAGCCTGAATAACAAGAGGTTTGGCTTCGGCCACCTGCAAAGGGAGCATACGGTGAACAGATCTCTCTTTCAGGAGACATATATATATATATATATAAGTGGTCTATACAGAAAAATGTTTAGGCTTTGCATTTAATTGGAAGTTGTCACATAAACAAATGCTGCAGAGCCAGGTCCACATTATTATTCAAATAAAACAAAAGATTATGCTGTTTTACTAATGTCCAAGCAACACTACGACGCTTCCCATCCTGTCTTTACAGGCCCAGATTCCAGAAAACATATAACTTTCTCTGATTTTAATTTTCAGTTACTACATGGTAAAGAGCAAAGAAATTTTTCTTTAAGCCAGTGTATGTTATAGCTACCTACCTGTAAGCTTTTCTTTATTATTACCTCCCTTTCTTTCCTGAAATAAGATGCATCCTTTGGAATTGGAACAGAACTGCAGAAAGAAAAGATGCTTAACAAGATGTTACATGCAAACTGGTATAAACCAAACATTTGTCAAGCACAGCACGACCCAGATAACGAAGTTAACAGGAAGGAAGTTTAATGGTATGAAAACCCTATATTAAGGCAGCAGAATTTATTTCATTAGCAGACATTTTTTGGCAAACTGTTTTCCTCTGCCTCCATTTTTTAGTCAAAGCCCTTAAAAAGTCCATCTGGATTCTTGTCAGTTCTATGGGTACATATTTCACCCCACAACTATGCAGTGGAGCTCCTTGACAAGCATCCTTCACAATTTAGACCACTTCCTTCCTAATATGCCTAATACACAGAAAGAGGGGCTGAGAAAACCTCTGGAGGAGAACTGTTTTTTAATTCTCATGCATCCATATACTTACAGCAAGCATACATTACAAAATTTTTCTTTAACTGAATAAAATAAATGCATGCAAATGAAAAACATAGGTGAAAACTGGATGGTAAAAAAAAAAGGGCTCCTGAGTCTTGTCCAAAAGCAATACACAGGAAACTTTGCTGGAACCCTTTAGAGACCTAAAGAGGTAGGACAATGAGGGGTTTTGTAGTCATTTACCACATCCACTGCTCTAAGACAGGGAAAGGTAAATCTGTTCCCTAAAGGTGTTTGTCTGTCCTCTTCTTAAGGACCTCCAATCAAGGATGGTCAATAACCTCCTAGCCCAGCTATCAGTGTTTAATTAACACAGTCACTGGAAAGTTTGAATTTTAGCCCATTAGTTTCTGTCCTATTCATAGGCACAAAGAGAAGTTTATTCCTTTAATCTTTACAGCAATCTCTTATGTGTCTGAAGAATTAGAACCTAGAGAAAATGGAGTGGAGGTGTAAGTCCATCTCCTTTCCTTTTTGTCTCAAGCATCCTGTTCTTGACCTCTGTTTTCCTCCAGATATGCTCCAGGTGGTCTACAGCTTCCTTGAAGCATAATGCCAAACTCGGGTAGGTTGCCATAGCTTGCATCTCATCATCACTGAGGAAAGTAAGAGCAGCTATCTTATGTCTGACCATTCTGTTTATACATCCCAATGTTATGTCTGAAGCTCCTTCCCCCTCACTGTAAGAGGGAAATACTTGACACGCTAGAGAGATTTAAAGTTTTGTTTGCGATACACACATGAAATCAATTTAGTTTATGTTTCAACATTCTTTTCCATTTCAACTGTAATTCTGTGGTAGACACACAATGAAAAAGCTGCTATTGCTGGCTCCCATGTGTGTATTCGGGTCTCGAAATTGAACAGTATATAGACACATGACTTTTGTATCATGACCAAAAGAACACCAAAAGAGACACAATGCATTGCTATAATCTCATTCTCTCCCTTATTCCTCAGGAAATTCTCGTTACCTATATGCACTACTTGGTATTCCCTGGAGTATCCTGTTGTCTTCTATTTCTGCCTTCAGCTCTGCCAGCTGTGCTGCTAGTTCTTGTTCCAGCTGCTGGACCTTCTCAGTAGAAGAGATCTGGTATACTTCATCCATTTTGCTTACTTCAGTTTGGCAGACCAAAAGACAAAGTAGTCAAGAAGCAGCTCCTTTCTCAGGAGAAAATGTCTTGTGAACTTCGGACCTGGAGAGCTGTCCACATAAAAAACACAAATTCCCACTCCTATATAGACAATGCACAATGTGTAGCAACTTCATTAAAGAATTGTTTATTCAGCATCTCCTTTAACAGGAATTCTTTTCTTTTAATATCAGGAACAGAACTGGGTGAATGTGATTTTTCCCATTTTGATTGCCAGCCTGAGGAAAATTGGAGAAAAAGTGTTTTGGGCCAGAAATTTTCAAGTATCCTACTGCATCCCACTAACAAATGCTATCTCCTCCCTTCTTCACCCAGTTTCTTAAGAACACTTCAGAAATTTTAGGTAATTAAACATGATGTGCTGAAGAAAAGATTTTACGTAAGAACTGAAACTTTTTGCTTTCATTCTTTCGAAACAAAATATGCTGCCATTCAAAATCTATTTTCTCCCCATTTCTCTCACCTGAAACTATTACTTGAAGTTGACCAGAATACAAGGAATGAAAGAATTTGCAAGAAATGCCACTTTTTGACAAATGTACTGTCTGCAAATAATCCGCTAATACCAAAGTCACTCAGTTCTAATGGGAAATACTTGCTTTGTGAGAATTTCTAAAATAGCCGTGGTCTCTTCCCAACAACTGGGATTATTCTATCCATTTGTCAGTGATGAGCATTAGGAATGAGAAAGAAAAAAAAAAAGGAATTGTCTTTTTAAAGGAAGAAGCAAGTCATTGTGGAAAGATTTGGGGTTTATTTCTTGGGGGCAAAGGGGAAGAAGAGGAGAGCTCATTTGTAATCAATCACAGAGCAACTGTCTGTAGCATCTATTTCTCAATGCTTTGCAGAATATGTTTGGCCGCTCTGGGCACATAATTTCTAATTTTTTCTTTCATGAAGGACCACTGAAAGATAACAGTTGTTGGTCCAGTCACAGGTCTGACTTGACAAACACAGAAGATGGTAAAGAAGCTGAATACAGCAGTGTAGGATGTACCTTTCAGGAGCTCTTCTTGGTTGATAGTATCCCAAGGTCTTGGGCAAATCCTCGTCTCTTGTTATGGGATTGGCCTCGCTTATAATAGGAACTACAAACTAAGCAACCATAGGAAGGAATTGGAGAATTCAGATTTCTGCAGCTGAATTTCACAGCTGAGAGAAAAGGAAATTCAAGTAAAAAGGAATAAAAGAAACACCAGGGGACAGGATGACTAAAATGAGGAAGGAAGTGCAACCTAAAAAATCAGACTAAAAGATTTCACCAAACCCAGCCAGGGGTCTGGGTCAAATCAATGAGAAGCAGCCAGTACATTCATACACTACAAACAGATGCCTAGGTTAGAGCTTGAACTAGTGATGCCAGACGTGAAAGTTGACACCATAAACATAATATAAACAAGGTAGAATAGCAACCGCACCTTGGCAGCAGGATATGAGGTGCTTTGGAAAGACTGAAATTATCCCATCCCCTTTACCTATGGTAAAGGGGATTGGATAGTCTGGTGTTTTAATGGAGTGACATTTATGAGTGGCTAGCACAGGTAAAAGCTCAAAGGCAATCTATTTACATTAGATTCACTTTGGGGAATGAAGATAAAGATTTTTACTAGATTAGTACTAAAAAACCTAAACCTGCCATGCTCTACAAATGTCTTCAATTACTCACTGAACCTAGATGGTACTTCAGACAGTTTTGGTACATGGTGAGAACATTAGAAAAGCAATCATAATCTGGGTTAGAATGGAAGGATAAGAACAGACGTGTATGTAAAGTGTTACAGTCCAAAAGGGCCAATTTAGAGAAACTAATAAAAGTAATTAGAAAACTCATGCAACTAATACCTCAAGGATTTTAACACTGGAGAAGCTGGAGAATCTTAAAAGCAATGGTAAACAGCTAACTGGAACTTGCCCACAAAATAAAAGCAGGGAGAATACTTTGGAAGTAAGGATGGTGGAGGCCACCAAAAAGTCATCAAGAGTAGGCACAGAACCAAAACAGGGGAAAAAAAAAAAATAAAAATCAGAGGGCTGGGAAGCCTAGAACTGAAGCAAGAAATACCAGCTACATTAAAAATTGCTAAGGAAAATAAATAGTAGGCAGTTCTTCAGCTATATAAGTAAGAAGGAACCAAGAGAAAAGAAAAGATGTCACTACGCAGGCAGCAGAGTTCAGATAAAACCAATTCAGATATGGCTGTAAAACTAATGGGAATTATTTAGCTCAGCTTTTTGAGAACATGGAAGTAAAGTTAGGGTAGCAGAGTGATGCAGTGGGAATATGAATTACCATTTCAGGGTATAAAGCAAAACTGTTGGCAAAATAGTAGAGCTGCTCATAAATAAACTCAAGTTGCAAAAAGAAGTCATCTTAAGTACCAGCAAAATAAAATCTTATAGTAGACCGTCTTCCTGAACCACAGAGCACTGAGCCCCCCATTTCCTAGTTTCGGATCAGTGAGGCTACTAATCATGGGGAAGTTACGGTAAGCGTGTTCTCAGGACAGGCACCCACATTCGGGCCAATGCACAAGAGGCTGACACGAAAACGAGAGAAAAAATGGTTGCATGTAGGGCAATGCACAGAATTGCCAGGCTGTCAGCAGCCCAGGACTTACCCAGTGCTTTTGAAGATTTTGAAGAGCTAACCCAGGAGCTCCAGAAACCTGAGGAAAGAACTCCACATTTCATCAGAATTTATCTGGTGAAACTCTTTGTACAGTATAGATATCTTCATTTAAGCTCACCGATCACCCCAGACTCCCTTTGTAGTCAGTAGAGAGAACCAGGAATTTGGTATAAGATTAATCTGACCTGTTTTAGCTGTTACCTTAGGGTAACACTTTCAGAAAGACTTGCTTCTCTCCGCTGATGGAAGAGAGACTACGGGACCCACACAGGGAGCCCGTGGAGACCTTCAGGTAAGCACCAGAGCCGCAACCCAAGAGACTTGCAGAAGCTTCAACAGGCCCCAGCAGGGGATGCGGTAGAGGCAGCCTTGCCCACTTCAGTGCAGGCAAGCCGAGGAAAACAGAAAATCCTTCATCAGAAATAAGAACATAGGCTTTATTATCCTCACTTCCTTGTGTTTTTCTGCTATAAAAATCATCGTGTGTTTGTGCAGCATTCTTATTCTGGGAATGTCTTTTGGTCCACATAAACATCTGCACTTAGTTACATTAGCCAGCATCCAAATCCCAGCGAGATCCTGCCCTGATTATTTTGCTGGGAGTGTTTTTGCCAGCTTCTATTCCCAGAACACACTGGATTTATAGCTACGTCCAACCTCCAGCTTTGCTGGTTAGAAGATTGTAACACACATGCTCAAACTGAATGCCTTTTGTACTAGGGCAAAGTCTTTCCAGCAGGCTTAAGTAACAAGCCATTAATTTGTGCTAGCATATTTCATTAGCAGCAGGAAAGTGAGATATTGTTGGATACAATTCGATGGTCTGTATTTTTAATTATACTGTTTGACCTACATCTTTTGTCCAATTTCCTTAATGTCTAGCCATAAAATATGACCCTAGATTCAAATACTAACAAAACCTGTTGTGGCAATTTTGCGTAACTCAGCATAAAATAACCCAGATTTTGAGTAAATAAACCAATTAGTGTTTTTTGGGATCACTGCGTGGTTTTGCCTGCTGTCTTTTATAGCTAGATTCAAAACATTCATAAAAAAAATTACACAGTTTTGTCTGAGAAGACAAACAAAAACATGCAAGATATAAATCAAAACAAGGATCTGTAAAAGAGTAGAGCAAGCACTTATTCAGCCAAAACATATTGTTCTTGTGAAGAAGCCTGCTCTGACCACTGTGCTTTCCCCAAAAGTACGTTTACGGAATTCAAGGCCAGAAGTTTTTTTGGAGCGTAAGATGTGAAGCATTCAGATCCCAGCGAAACTCACTGCGATCTGCGTGCCCAGTTCTTGCCGAGCTGAACCTCGCCAGCATTTGTGCACAGGGCTAACTTCACCACTGCGGTTTCTGCAGAATTATTAATCACTGTATATTTATTTGAAGATTATGTGATTGACAACTGCCTCAAACTGTGAATATGCTAATCAATAAATACATAAGCTGATCTCCTACCCTACAGACTCCCCACCCCCCAGGATACAATCTGAGAACAAATTTTCTGTATTTCTTCAAGTGAGAAAACTTGTTTGGGATACACTTCCTTTGTATCTGGTTTGACTCCCTCAGCCCATGCTGAAGCGCATCTGCTTTGCTTTAGTGTGTGAAAACACATGCACTAGAGAAATGAAGGCTCCAGAAAATAAGCAGCACAAAAGAATGATTAAAATACAATGAAATTTTCTGAACTGAAATACAAGTGATATACCCCTGTCCACTAATGTAAGCTTGCATGTCACCTGTTCATATTTCCCCCCTCAAATCCCAACTCCATAATGTAAGCTCACATATTACCTGTTCATATTTTCCTCTCTCAAATCCCAGCTCCAGGCTGGAAGAGCAAAATAGCCTTTTCAGCTCCCCATCCCGCTCGGCAGCAGTCAGGGATGTGAAACACCCAGCTGCCGGGAGGACCGGGTTCGGCCATTTTCCCTTTCCCTCCAGCCACTCGCCCCACAGAAAGGCAAACACAGCAGTTTTATCCTGGGACTGGACAGCCCCTGTCAGCACACACAATCTGAAGACTGACTATTCAACTATTCAGCGCTTAAGCGCAGCCCCATCCAGTACCTGGTTGACCGACCGAAAGCTGCCGCCCTCCACCGCAGCCCCTTGTCCGAGAGAGGAGCTGGGGCCCTCCTTCTCCAGCTCCAGCACCAAAATGGCCCCCTCTCTCTGGGTTTCTATAGTCAACAAAAATACCAGGTCAAGGCACAAAGGGAGCAGGTGATTGATGTGCCGGCTCCCTGCCCGGACAGGCCCAGCTGTCCCTATAGCAACCCCAAGCTATAGGAGCTGCGATGGCGATGGCC